AAAAAAGCCCAAGCTATAAAATACTGTTGTTGTCCATAACACTTTTTCTCATAACAGCTTTTAACAGCATTTAGCACTTCGTCGATTTGGAGCAGTGCACGAGCAGGAACTCATAAATCTCGGCGGCCCTGGGAAGGGGCAGAGTGCCAGCAGCTCCTGCGAGGTGACCCCCCGAGGCCGCGGGATGCTGCTGGCAGTGCTGCTCCACGCTCAGATCATGGTGCTGGACTCTGGCTGCTGATGGCTGGATTGGGCCACAGCAATTATTGTGCTGTCTTGTAATTTTTTATTATGTCCCACACCGCTAAGGCTTTTCTACAGATAACCTTTCTGCTCCAATTAGGGCCTCTGTGAAGAGAACTAATGACTGCTGATCCAGACTGTTCATCACATCTGAAGCTTCAGCCCATGGAGATGAATTAAGTCAGTATCGGTGAGGCTGAAAAGATTTTCTTTTCTTTCATCACAAACAATGAAAAAAAATAGGACCCCTGCAGATGAGAATGAAGATCACCCCACACACACAGCCCCACTGACCGCCTTCGCTCCCAGCAGTATTCAGGTCATGTTCTGCCACCAAGGTGAGTGTGAGCCTGGGGCCACCTGCCCCACCTCCCGCCCCAGCCCTCCTGGGTCTCAGCTGGCTCCAGTCACAACACCTCTGCTATTGCTGCAGCATGGCCCTGCCTGCAGGGCACCTCCTCTTTGCCGCAAGCCTTGTGTTCAGCACCATAGAATCAAAGAACTCGTTAGTGGGAAGGGATCTTAAGGCCCCAGCCCCACCCCTGCGTGTTCTGGATGCCTTCTGTCAGCGCAGGCTACCCACAGCCCCATCCATGACCTCGTGCACCTCCAGAGATGGGTCACCCACAGCTCTGGGCAGCCTGTGCCAAAGTGACAGCAGCAGCCCCGTCTTTCTGTTAGTGGGCAGTCTTTGTAAGGTCAAGCATTGTAATACAGACAGCAAACAGAGTAAGTAAGCACCTGGTTGCCCTGTGCTGCTTCCAGAAGCAGCATGTGGCCAGGCACTGCCCCAGCACCACATGGTGCAGCACAGCCATGCCCATGGCCAGAGAGTGAGAAGGATACTCACCAGGTGGAAGTACTTCTCAGTGTCCAAATCCTTCACTGTGAAGAACAAGAGGGATACAACAGCTAAGTCAGAACACTCCACCCACATGAGAACACGTTTTCTATCCCCAAGAAGCACTAATGCTCAGCCAGGGTTTCTGCTCCCAGTGATCTCAGCACCTTTCTCAGCAGGGGATCACATCGTGCTGCACCACACTGCAGGGCCTGGGGAACACGGCTGCCAACTCTCAGTGGACCCCGGAGCCACCCTTGACACGTGCAGGTTCAAGGGAATGGGCCTTACCTCTGCTCAGCGTGCCGTCCTTCTTGTCTGACAGGCTCATGGCCAGGGACGCCCCTTCAGGGATCTGCAGAGGGAAGCGTGGCTGTCAGTGAGTGCCTGGCAGCTTCCAGCCCTGGGGACCCGATGCCAGCCACGGGCACCCTGCCACCACCCTGCCCCTGCTCCCCAGTGTGGGAACTGGCAGCAGCGCGCTGCCCTACTGGGAGAGGCTTTTTAAAGTGCAAATGCAAGCGGGTGATGCCCTCAGCTCCAATGGGAACTGGGCAAATACGTGCATCCAAGATAAAGTTTTGGCACGTCTACAGCAGGTAACTCGAAGAAGAAAGACCACCGAGCTGTGCAGGCACTGCTTGGCCTCTCCCGCAGGAACCCGCAGGGCAGGGGCTGCTCTTTGTTCTGCGCCCGGCCCGGCACAGCGGGCGCAGCGCCAGCAGCGGCACTGCGGCACAAACAACCGCGCTGATCAGCACGCAGTTCTGATTTTCCATGTGCTGTTGCAGGCTAGTGAGGATTATGCTTCCAGGCATACCAGGGAATGGGGAAACCAAATAAACTTTCTGGTTTCATTTAGTTTTAAAAGGAAAACTGGTCAGGAGAACAGTTCTCTTTACCACATTGCTCCATGTTTTTGGCCTCCATCCTCAGCGGCATCCCCAGCCCTGCTCCGAGGGCAGGCAGCAGCTCCAGCGGCAGCAGGGCACGGCCCAACAGCTCGGTGATGCTGATCAGCTCAGCTGAGGCCATTGGAAATAGGAGCTTTTTCTTTTCCCCCCGTTCTTTCTGTTGTCAGTAATAACTTGTTTTGCATGAAGAGTGTTTAATTAGTTTCAGTGTGTTGCAATATTAACAAGCTCCTCGCCAGGGCAGATGTCTATTCCCCAGAAGCTCTTGCGGAGCCATGGCAACCTTCCTGCTTGGCCCCAATAATCCTGTTTTTGGAGGAGGAACTGCCATTCGCCCCTGGGGCCGGGGAGGCTCTGAGGAAGTAGAGCTCTTCTGTAGCACCTGTGGATTTACCTTGTAATGTGCCAACGTGTTGAGCTTCTTCCTGCCATCCTCCACCACTGAGGTGTCGTCGAGGTCCCGCAGGATGTAGCTGTCGGTGCTGGTGGCAAACCACTCTGTGTGGGGAGGGCAGAGCTGAGCAGGCAGCCAGGAGGCTGGGACCTGCTTCTGGGAGCATCCCACAGCCAAGGCACCGTGGGGCTGCAAGGGGTCACCAAGGGGCAGCAGTGGCTCCTGAGGGGCTGAGCCTGCAGACAGGGGGACGTGCCCCAGGCACTGGGGAGAGGAGTGGGGCCCTGGTGCTGCCCCAGCCCAGCTGTCCCTCCAGGAGGACACCGTCTGGCACTGAGCATCAGCCCCACGTGACGCAGGCACAAGGCCAGCGTGGGTGGTTTCCTCCTCGCAGCACTGGCCTTGGACGCTAAAGTTCTACAAAAAGTGGTTGGCCACAGGGTAGACAAGTGACCAAACACACAGCCAGACAGGAGTCCGTGGGTTCATTTGTAGCTGCTTGTGGAGAGGTACGTTAATGAGCCATGTGCAGGCCCAAGAGAGTTTTAGAGGACACATCCGTTCCTGGGATTAACACTAGGCTTCAAAGAGGGGAAATCCAAGTACCCTTCTGCTCAGCTCAGGCTTTTCTAAAGCTTCTTTCTAATGGCTCCCTCCAGTCTGGCAGGGTCCAGTCCCATCTCTTATTCCTGAAGACTGCCCTCAGGAGAAGGCTGTCTCCATCCTGCCCTATCACCAATGCTCCTTCACCCAGTGCCCTCCAACAGACCCCAGGGGCTGGTGTGTGCCATCAGCTCCCTCACCCAGAGGTACAGTCTGGCCAGCGCCCCCTACCGAGGTCGACGTCTTCCACTCTTGGCCACTGGGAGTAGGGGACATTCTTGCAGAAGGCCTCCAGGATCTTCTCCTTCACTTGGCTAAGCGTGTCTGTGTCCATGGCTCTAACACTCAGGGAGTCCATCCCACAGCCTTGGAAGGAGACGTTGAGGTTCTGTGGACAGAGGCTGCGTTAGGGGTGAGTGGGGCTCCCATGGATGCACAGAGCTCTGGGGCTGAAGTCAGGCAGAATAAAGGCTGTCACCTACAATTTACTGCTAGCAAAAGTGCTGATTTATGCTCCCTGGCAACTGAAAGATGCAATTTATTGATGGAGCCAAGAGGACACAGGGAGCAATGCTGTGCCCTGCTCTCCTGCTGCCCTGCTATGGGCCTGAGCCCTGACATGCAGAGATCACTTCCGAGGCGGGAGGAGGACGGGTCAGCCTCCACTGCCACCACATCCTCAGCTTCTCGGCTCTGGCCAGTCACTGATGGGGCTATCAGGGCTCACTGCCCTCCTCTGCCTGATGCAACGGGCTGAGCTCTTGGGTGTAAACAAGCATACCAAAGAGTGAGTTTGGTGCCACGTGGGCATTCACCACCATCAGCATCCAATTCCCTGCTGAGGAAGGGACCTGAACAGTGGATCATCAGCCACAAGGGGCTTTGGGCTCCACAGACACCACTCACTCCTTGGGGACGCCCAGCTTCTGCCAGTTGCAGAACAAAGCTGTGGGGCAATGAAAATGATCCTTTGTACAAAAACCCTCTTTAAGAGCTGCTCCCATACTGATGCAGGAAGCAGGCACCTCCACCACACATGCACTCCACCTGGCCCAATGCCACCTGCACAGAGCTGACCCAAGGCAGCCCCTGCCCTGCTTCAGCCCTCTTCTCCTTGATGTGCACAAACAGGGGGCCTCTGTTCTGCTCTGAGTGCAGTCCTGAAGCTAGCCAGCTACTCAAGCTGTGAGCTGTGGTCAGGAAACTGTGCAGAGAGCATGAGCAGCACTGCTGTGAGCGCAGCTGCCTCTAGGAAGGATACCCATAAATGTGAGCCCATTATCTGGAATTCTCACAGCCCACAGGCTCCTTGCAATCACTGTTGTAGCAGAAATGGTAAGTCACAGCCTGAAGCAGTGGTGGAGCACCTGGTGGAAGGCAGGGCCAGCCTAAGGAGCTCAGGTGCATGCAATGTACCTGAGTGACTGGAAGGGTGGAGCCAGGATCCACCCCTTCCCAGCCCTCATTTAAGGGTTGGCAGTGGAGGTGAGGGCATCTCTGAGGTCTGGTGAAGGTAAGCAGCTCTTTTCCTTCATTTCTGTGGCTGTTGCATTTGGGCTCATTCTTGTTTGCTGCAGTCAGTGACTTTGCTACCCTATTATTGTGGTACTTTCCAGCCCATTATAGCATTACAACTGCTCTCTGCTATCAGGGCATGCAGTCAGCTCCCTTGGTGATGAGAGAAATCTCAGTATACAGATGAAGCTGGATTTTTGCCGTAGCATTAACAGAAAATAATTTTTCACATTTTATACAGGGTAGTTGTTTTTCAAAGCAGAGGTTTGGTTACCAGCAGTGTAGAGGACTGCTGATGAGTTAGCACCAGGCCTGCAGGTGGTTGCCTTCCTCCAATGCTCAGCTCATCACTTTGCTTTTTCTCTCACAAAGTAGGAAGCAGCTGCAGCACTCCTGCTCACGCACATGACATTACCATTTCTGCTGGGAAAGCCCATACTCTGTGCCCTGCTGCTAACCCCTCTTGTCTGTGCTGTGAATTTACAGGTCGGTCAGTAACAAGAATTGGCGACTCTGTGGAGTTAGAACACGCTCTGTGTTATGGTGATACGTGTCTGGGTCAACCCATGGATTTCAATGGAACTGCTGCAGATTCATGCCAGGTAATTGGAAGCAGGGTTTGACCCAGGCTCTGGAAAGGCATCTGAGTCTGGCGCTGAAGGGGAAAAAATTCCTCCGTGTGCACAGCTCTGCCAAAGCCCTGCGAGAGGTAGTTTGCTGTAGAGCTCTGTGACTCCCTGCCTGCAGCCTGTGGTGTGAGGCTGAGCCAGCACCTTCTCACTGGGAGCACAGATGCTGATTTGCTTTACCTCTCTAAGCATGGCTGAAGAAATCTCCCTGCTTCCCTCTACCTCTAACCAGAGCCACATTGGTGACCACAAAGGGCGGATGTGGAAACCAGCAGTTACCACAAGTCGTATCCTGCAGTGGGAGCCCTGTGGCAGCGAGGTGCAATGGGCACTAACTCTCACTGAGGCATAGGCCCCCTCTTGGCCACCCCACCTTGGGTACTCACCCTTGGCTTTGCCTCAATGTTCTCCCGCAGGAGCCACTCCTCGTTGAGGGTGTATCTGGCCTTCCCTGTGATGGCATCAATGGAGCCTTTGTTAATCTGCTGCTTGATGGCACAGATCAGCAGGAAGAATGGCTCTCCGACTGTCTCCTGGGGAAAGGGAGAGAAGTCCATGTCAGCAACGGACCTGGCGGCCCGTCCAGGGCAGGCTCTATACAGAAACAGACTTGGGGTGCCAGCTTCCTATTAAAGGTGCTGTCTGAAGTCCTCTTTGTGCTGCCTGGTTTGCCATTGAGATCTATGGGAGTGAGGCCTCTGTGTGCCCTGTGGCTCTGGGAAGCAGCACTTGTACTTCTCATACCACAGCAGAGCCCTGATTGCAGCAAAAGAGAAAGATCAGAGTCAACCATGCTGTTCCCATGCGACAACGAGTAAACATGGCAGCTAACTCGTTATATTTGTCAACCTTCATCTTATGGGAGAGCTGTGAACTGTGACAGCGCTGCAACAGGAACAAGGAGCCTAACAGGGACCAGCGATTTGTGACGCGGTTCAGTGACATGGTGTAATGCCAGATTTCTGATCCACTTATGTCTGTTATGCCGATGTGCAAATACAACACAAGTTATTTTCTTGAAAAACATTTCAGTACTGGAGTACATCCCATTCTCCCTAATGTTCATGTGCAATTTCCTTCAGATGAGGCAAATGCAAATTACTGCACATTCCTGTACTTCCCGACCATCACACCCCTGTGCAGCCATCGCTGCCATCTGAAATCCTGCTCGAGACAACAGATATCGGATGGTTTTGGTATTTCTCAGCTAGGAGCTGCTAAATCCTGTTCAATCTGCTTCTTAATTAAGACTTGGTGGTTCTTTTATTCTAATTGCCTTATAATTGCTGAAGCAATTAGCTCGATGTCAATTTTGATTCAGCTGCCTTCAGCGTTGGGGCTGCAGCAGGGCTGTGGGTGGGCACGCGCCATCTGTGCCAGGGTGCTCATGCTTTGTTTTCCCAGGGCAGGCTGGTAAGAACATCGGGCAAGTGCAGGGGCCTCGCACCGGGATGGAAGGACTTCCTGCAACGCTCCCTCTGTGTTGGGCTCTGCAGTGCTGGACAAAGGCACAGAAACATGTGAAGCTGTGGGGCAGAGGAGCTGAGGACCATGAATGAAATGCAGAAGGTAACAGAAAGTCAGCGTCTGAGGGGAAGGTGGCATGGTGAGCCAGCAGGCAGGGGTTATGCTGAGACAGAAGTCACCGGGTCTCGCTGCTTGCTTCCACCCACCACTTGTGCGGTGCAAACAGGAGCACTGCTGTACAGCCCAATGCAGGGGGTGCCGGCGCAGTGCCTGTGTCGTGGTGCTCAGGTGTGCAGGATGACCACCCTGAGGTTCAGCACCGGGTCTGGAGCCTGTGCTGCCCCCCTGGGGAAACTGCTGCTGGACACAGCTCTGGCTGCAGCGGCAAGGGAGGAGGCTGAGTACCACGGCACAGAGCCCCCCAGCTACCGGGGCTCCTCACTGCCTGGAGCCAGCAGTGCACCCTGGGCAATGCCGAGCACGTGGCATCGTGCTGCCAGTGTGCTGAGCGCAGAGGGACAGCCCATGCAGCCTGTGCTCATACCCTGTGCTGTGTGAACGAGCCACCGCTGTCCTGAGGATGAGCTGCATAGGAGCCAAATAGCAGCTCAGCCTGCGAGATGCTATTTCTGTTTGTCTTGTTGGCTTTCAGACCCAGGAACTGTAGGACGCTATGGAGATCTGCAAAAGCACTGATCAGACTGCAAGTTTCAAAGAGGGGAAAGAAGTGCTGGCAGGCAGCGGCTGCAGATAAAAGGGCAGGCCTGGAAACCTCGAGCATTGTTCAGAAAATGCATCTGGAAACAAACCAGCAGTGTCTCCGGAGCTGCTACTTGGGAGAAAGGAAGTCTAACCAGAAGAGATCAGTGCTGATTCAGGACAAAAATTATTTTAAAAAACCACACTCTGGGGCCTTTTTTTTCCTCCTATTGTGAATGCATTTCACTGAGACTTCATTTTCATTTTTGACTGAACCATCACAGGCTCTTAAAGCTGTGCGGGGCACTGCAATAAGCTCGCAGTAATGGAGTGCACAGCTCGGGCTGGCACTGCTTGGGCTGCTTCATGCTGGGGGAGCGTGGGAGGCGAAGGTTTTATGCTCTTGGGAAAAAGGTTCAGAGCGCAGACTGGCTTTGGTGTGGCTGCTCCATTACCAAGGCCAACAAGACATCGGAGATGTCCTCTGGGAACACTCTACAGTCATTTCAAATGAGCCTTGGTGAGGTTGGAGTAAGGAAAGTGCAGAAAGCAGCTGCTTCTCGCAGGTGCCAGCTAATTTGGGGGTGATTAACTATTTGTGTAATGTAAAAATTAAATCCCAGCTCCCTCCCCTACGCAAAACTGTGGGAAGCTTGGACCCAGGTCTGAATGCTGCATCCCAAGGCCTTGGCTTTCACTCAGTCATCAGTTTCCTCCTTCCCACCAGCACGGGGTGGAATGGCACCGAGGTATCAGAGGGGGGAGGCAGTTCTCAGCATTTTCCTTTACAGTGGTAGCGGGAAGTGCAGACGCAGACCATTTTATTGGTGATTCTCACATGGTTATGCAGAAACCAAGATCTGCATCAGTTATGCAAATGCTGCAAGTTTTCCAGCCCCCCTCTGATTCCAACCCCAAGAAGCAAGTCTCCTGCTGCCTACCATCACTGTCACATTTCAGAGGGGCAAACCCTCTGCTTTCAGGTGCCCTCCACATGTGCAGCTGTGAGTGGCTGTGGCCTGCCTCTTCTTCCCAGCTGAAGACAGCTCCTTCAAATCATTTTTGCCCAAAACACAAGCGGATGGACTGCTAGTCACAGCATTAATATGAAACAAATGTTTTGAGCATGTAGCGTTGACTTACAAGGGAAAATACAAGCTCTTGGAATTTTTCCACTGAACAATGGCAGGGACCTTTGCAGCAGCTGTTTCAAATAGATGTTGTGATTAATGGGGATCATTCAGGAATGAGAACCAGACCCATCATCACACGTCTGACAGCACAGTGCTGCAGGCAGGCAGGAGACTCTTTTTAACCAAAGAATGCCTCTCTGAAGGCAAACAGTTTGACCCAGAGGGATGCAAGGCACACGGGAGGTTCCTGACTGTCACTAATATTTAAGTTGTTGCCCTGAGCTAGAAGCTGTCTGTGGGCAGGAGTGCTTCAGTGGCTCCGTGCTTGGCTTTTGTAGTGAGGAAGGCACCAGTTCAGCTCACACTGCTGAGCCCTCCATCCCTGCACACAGCAGCCTGAACCCATTTGGAGCCCTCTCCTGCAGGGACAGCCAGAGCTTCTTCCACCCACATCAGCAGGCAGCAGCTTCTCCTCCACTGAGGTTTCCCCACCTTCACCCAAGTATGCAATGTGCTCTTGGAAATCTAATCTTCACTGCATTCTGCTTCCTGTTCATGCCAAGATCCCATGGAGCTGCATCAAGGAAGGGTCAGGCTGGATATTGGGAAAAGACTCGGCACCAGAGGGCAGTGGGCACAGAACAGAGTCCCCAGGGCAGCCCCATGCTCACAGAGCTCAGGGAGCATTTGGACACCACTCTCAAACATGGAGTTGGGTGGTGCTGTGTGGAGTCAGGAGCTAGACTTGATGATGCCTGCAGGCTCCTTCTGACTTGGGAACTTCTGTCATTCTGTGATTCTAGCTGGCTAAGCCCTTATTCCACCATCTCCCTGATTTCTACACAGCTTCAGCTCACAGCTGACACCAGCCCTCATCACAGGCTCATCACAGGCAGTCCCAGCCCTGGTCCTGACCCCAGCTGTGCATGGGCACCTGGACTACCACGGCCCCAGGAGGGGTGCTGCAGGCTGTCAGGGCAGCAGCACCGATAATTAGCTCTGTAACGTGCCCATATCCTCAGCCTGTGTGATAAGAATTACATTTCTTTCCTCTTTTTTCTTTCCTGAGAAAGCCCTCTTGCACAACGTTCATTTTTAGCAGAGCCGGAGCTGGATCAGACGCCTCAAGGGCTCTGCTCTCCAAGAGAAAAGATCAGCACTTTCCCCCCCCATGGTTAAGCTACAGGCACAAAACAGAAAGATTAATAAATAAATAAATAAATAAATAATCACTAATTCACTCTTTTTTCCTCTGGCAGGCTGGAAAGCCATGCTCCATTGGCACAGGCAGCCCTACTTGTTCCTGTGACTTTTCCTTCATTGTAGTTCATAATTATGTGAGCTAAAATGAAAGATTAAGAACTACAAAGTCACAAGCTTTAGAACAGTGATCTTCAGCTGTGTTCAGAAGACATTATGATATGTATGAAGACAATGCGGTATTGCTTCTGTGACTACAGCAAACACTTTGAAAAAGAGATTTTTCTAAAGGCCTTTTCCAGGCTTTCCCCTGTGGGTATAATGGGGTGTCCTCCAATTAGCTGCTGTGGAATCAATTATGTTATTGCTCAACTCTTCTGAGAAATTCCAACCAGAGCTGGCAAGCATTGGAAATAAAGCACTGAGCAGATGGAGATGCTCTGAAATGCCAAATATCTTCCTTTTACGTTATGTAGGAAGATAGTCAGGCTTCTGGACATCCCCCTCTCCTGCAAAGACACCTGGGCAGTGTGGCACTGAGAGGACATGCCCAGCACAAGGAGCCCCAACCCAAACGACCACTGACAGCCCAGCAGCTTTTCTGCCCCACACCACAAGCACCTCCTGGGGTCCTGCACTGAAGCAAAATGCTGAACTAGCTGGCAACCATCAGTACGGCTATCCAAATTGGTCAGAGAAAACAACAGCTGGAACTGTTCTCCAAACCTCAAGCTATTGTGGTTATTTTCCAATTCCCTGTGGCTGTCTTCTCAACCATGGCAATAGATGCCAGTTTAGTGCCCTGGCCTTATAAAAAGCAGGCCACACTAGGAAGCCTGCTAGGAAGCTTGATCCCATCAAGTCACCAGATGCAACCAAACTTCCAGTTGCTTTCTTATGCTTAACCATTCAATCTGTTGGAGTTTGTCAACCATTAGTGACAAGGCAACTGGCCCAACAGGCAAGTATTTAGTTCCTCAGCTGATTCACATGTCCCTTGTTACCCCTGCATGCAATGCAACTACCATACACTCATCTGGTTCTCTTACTCTGAGATAGCTGTACATGCAGATGGACATCCAGTTGGTGAGCATCTTCTCTACCACAGATTCAGTTCTCCTCAGCATCAGCTTGGGATTTTTGGAAGCTGAAGCATCTATTAGATCCACCAAGAGGTCCTTCATGATGCTGGTGTAATATTCCAGTTTCCCATGCAATGCAATAGTAAGCAGGGAGGCCAGGTTACACCTGAAAAACAGAATTGTGTAAGTAAACTGTTAACTAGTATAAGAAACAAGAAGACAGCATTTGTGGCAGTTTCTGCAGGCTCTCTCAATGGGGCTAAACTCCACAGGCTCTTTCTGTGCTGTCAGACCTCAGGTCAGCTCACACTCTTAATGGTAAATTGTATGTGTTCAGGAATACAAACACTGCAAGAGCAGGTCATGCACTCCATCTTTTGGTGCTTTGCAGGAAAATGGAAAAGGTTTTTAGCTGCTCATTTCTAAAAGAAAACTGGGAGGCCAGTTGTAACCTTCAGCTGCAATGCATGACTCTAGATAGCATCTGGATCGCTTAGAGTTTAGGAATAAATCAATCTTGTCCAGCTGCCAGGTCTTTGGTTGAAATTTAGCATAGATGATCAGTGCCTGAAAACCACAGGCCTATGGAAAATGTCCATGTAGGACAAGAGATGCACTCAACTGCCTCCTCAACAGCTTCATGGGACCAGGCAGGGGCCACGGAGCCACCCTTCACAGCAGAGACTGTGAGGCAGCAGCCACACCACTGAGCTTGCTGTGGGCACGTGGAACCCCCTCAGATGAGCTGGCTGCCAGCGTGGCTCCTCAGTCTGCTGGAGCTCATACCTGTCCCTCACAGCAAAGTCTTTCTGTTGTTCAAGAGCGTGGACAAAAACGATGAGAAAGTGCTTGTTGTTGAGCAAGGTAGAGAACAGTGAGATTCCTTCTTCCATGTTGGGTCTGCAGCTTTCGGGGATCTAGAAAAAAAAATAGAAAGCAGAATGAGAAAAACACTCCTTGTTTCCCCCCACCCCAACTTCTTTTATCCTACCTGACTGCAGTGATGTCCCTGCTAAGCACACAGTGCTGTGCTGATGCCTCCATTCTCCCTGTCCAGCACTAGCCAGACTGCTTTCCTGGCGAAGGCACGACTGCATTCTGAGCTGCATCAGAAGCAGCACAGTCACCAGGCCACTGCCCCTCTCTATTCAGCACTTGTGAGACCAAGGAGAGTAACATGCCCAGTTTTGGGCTCCCCACTGCCACGTGGGTGTTAACAATTTGGAGCAAATACAGCAGGGGATGCCAATTAGGGGGCAGTTATGTACAAGAAGAGGCAGAGAGAGCTGGTGCTTATTTGCCCTTAAGAGGGAGATAATTTCCTGCAGTTTTCAACTGCACTGTGGCAGGGTAGAAAAGACAGAGCTAGGCTCTTCTCTGGGGATATAATGATAGGATAAGAGGCAAGAGACACCAGATGGAGCGTGGGACACTAATTAAAGAAAGAAAGTTTCCACCTTCATGGTCATCAGGCACTGGAAAAAGAGCTCTGAGAGGCTGTGGGATTTCCATTCTTAAAGATATCTCAACACTCAGCTGGACAAGGCCCTCAGCAACCTGATCTAGTTGGAGTTGCTGTAAGCAGATCTCTCTTCAACCTAAATGACTTGCTGATCCTTCACTTCCTGACTCTTGTGCATCCAAAACCCAGCTCTGGGACAACAGCTTATAGTGAATCTCTTGTAATTCATCTCATTTATGAAGAGCTGTGTACGGAACAGAAGATGACATACACTATGGTACACCTAGGAAGAAAGCCCACAGTGAAGCTGGGGAGGGTCTTGGGACAGAGCTCCTTCATGTGAGAGCAGAATTTCACAAATCTCTCTTCTCCAACCAGTGAAAGCTGATCCAGTGCTGGTATGCGTTAATTGCTTTGAGTAATCAAGCTTTCCCCACATGCCACAAGAAAATGCATGGCACTGTCAACACACACGAGTATGGTTAGCAACCACTGAGGAACATTTGTTTTGTTAGTGGGTTACTCACTTTCCATTCCCCCACCAGAAGCGGATGGGTTTCCTGGACCTGGGAGCCCACCTGGGAGCTGAGCTGTTGGGAAGGCAGAACGTAACACTCCTCATAGAGCGAGGAACACTGCAACACAACCAAACACAGCCATCAGCAGAGGGCCAGAGACCTCCTCATGTGCCACGTGCCACAGGGGAACGAG